AAAAAATATTTTTATATATTTATTATATCTAAAACAATATGATTTCTATGTAACCTAATAAATTGCAGACTAAATATCTAGTGCTTACTTAATAAGTGGTACTATTAGAAATCAGTAACAGAAATATTTTTGAAATATAAAGCTTTGTTTCACTTTCTACTTGCTGTCATAACGCAGTATTAGTGCATGAGTATGACAGTCAATGAAAAGGACCATCTAATTCTGTACAAGACCTGAAGACAGAAATGAGTCAAAATCCATTCAATAATTCTATAATAACGAGGCTGCTTCAAATCACTTATGGCAAAATTCCCATGTTCTGACAATAGATTTTGAGTGTGGGGGCAAATTTATTGTGGTGAGGCAGCAGATCTGGGAGAGCAGCTACAGTGCAGCCCCTCAAGGGCAGCTACTTTAAAAAAAAAAAAAAAAAAAAGCAGCTTCATCTTGACTTAATTCCCAGCAACACAGCTGAAAGCTACAGCACATTCCCAACTATTCCTCTTTACCCAGTGTCTGTCACACCTCTGTGTCCCCATTCCCTTCCCAAATCAGACAATGTTACAACTGCAGCTTTCAGACATACACAGCTAAGCTTAAGAAACACCAGCAACCTGCTGCTGGGCATTTCAAATGCCCAACTTTAGTTATATAATTAAGCTTCTTCCTTTTTTTTTTTTTTTTTAATGCATAGAATTGAGTTTAAGACCTAAAACACATATTCTGATTAAAACCTTATATTATATACAGAAACTCCCTAAACTGACTCCCTGGGATGGTTCTGCTTACCAGTAAAACAGGTGCATCCAAGATAATAATAGCTCCAATTTCCATAAACTTCAGCCAGCTCCCCTGCCATGTAGAGAATGGAGCTCCTCCATGCCCAAAAGGTATTTTTTTTAAAGCTTCTTCCCCAGCCTCATATGTTTAGGAGAAATTTTTCCCCCTCTCACTCAAAAGCAGATCAGCAAAATAAGGCATTAGTGGGTTTAGCTTTCTATCAGCAGCTGATGGTTACAACAGCCACTCAAAATTCCATGGCATGAAAACCAAAAAATCCTGTCTTTAACCAAGTAAATGAAATAATAAAGAGTGCAAAATATATCTAGTTTCTACCCAAGGATTTATGTAGGCTTCTAGTCTAACCCAGGTTACTCTCTGGAGTTCTAAACTTACAATGTCCTGGCTGAGACACAGTTGAGTGTAACAATAGTTGAAGTGAAAAAACAATAAATCACATAACACAACGAAAGGAGAAGACACCATAAACCAGCACAAAACCAGGTGTAAACACAAGCTTTTGAGCTTAGCAATGTTTGCAAAAGAAATGCAGTAGTAAAAAAGGGAACAAGGTACTCTGTGACGCATGCTGCTTTCAGCCAAATAACCCTTCATCAAGAAGTAGGATTACATCAAAGAAGTATCTAATTATCATAAAACCCTTCTCCTTAGAAAAGCAACCTGCAAAAACTTCTCTATGGCACACACAACAAAGTCAATAAAGGAAGATTATATTTTGGATTCTTTGTATTTAAAAAAAAAATGTTTTGGAAAGGCAAGGGAATTCTTTGTGCAGTATTGAGAACCTACCTTAACCATGAAAAACACTAAGGGGGCTATAAAGAAGTGCACATTTCCTCTGTGCAAAATGGGAAGATGCAAAAAAAACATACAAAAATCAAACCCATCTCTGTTTGGAAAGACCCTCATGCTATTTCAGGCTTAATCAATAACTCCTTTGATCACAGTGAATAGATACACCTGAAACTTGCATTTTCCACTAGGCAGTTTTGCACACTGATAAAGCATTAAATCTTTTCCACACTGAAAGCTGTAGAAAGGTTTAATGTGCTGGTAGTATCAGAAACAAGAATGAAGAAAGCTGAAGACCAAAATGAAACTATTTTCGTTACTTTTCCTGTAAAGAGTCATGACTTTTAACACACATTTCTGTAATTCCAGTCTCCACAACAGGGTACTGCCCACACCACGGGGGTCTGACCGTCTCTTGGCGACACCCAGTTGACACCCAGACTAACTAGGCCACCGTCCTGCTTTAAGAAACGCTGACCGGAGCTGGAACGGGCAGACGGGCAGGGTGGTTCAGCTCTTGCCTCCTCCGGGCTGGGGAACCTGACCCCATTCGGCCGCGAGCAGCACCTCCTTCCCCTCGGCGTCCTCCACGGACGTTCGTGGAAGCGGGGGAGCGCCCGTGGGGCCTGGGGTGCCCTGTTTTATAGTTAATTTTCATTGGGTTTTAACAGGTCATTTCTTAGCACCATAGCAGCTTTCACAATTTCTCTGTATGCTGACAGAACTAATTCTATACAGCTCAGGGAACAAGTAATGCTCAAACCGGGAAATAGAAACTTAAAAAAACCCCTCTGTATTCCATTATTTAGTAAATCTATAGCCTTTATTCCTTCACACACATGTATTTAGATACATGTAGATATGTGTGTATATATATTTAAATGGAAAACTTCATAGTTTTTTGAGGGAGGGTCTTGTTTTGTAATGAAGTGATGTCCCATCCAACTCAGTCCGGTTAGGGTGAGGTTTGGACTGGTTCCACCTGTCAGGTGCGGGTAAAGTTAACCTTTTCTCTCCCTGGGTCAAGGTTAACTTTTTCTTAATCACTTAAGCCAGTTGGTGAGATTAATCTCTATAATTCTCTGTGCAGTACACTAAGGGTAGCAACCACTGCCCAGTAGGTTTATACAAAACATTACTTAAAATTGAGTACGATCATAAAGCTTATCAAAAAAACTATAGAACAATGTTGCTGTCAAGGCAATGGGGTTGCAACTAACAAAACTTGGCAACGCCTGTGTCTTCTCTCCTTGCGGTGTGGGAGGTCACTGTTCCCGCTCTCAGGTCTTTGCTCAGGGCTGAGGCAGCCACCGCTGCGAGACAGCCCCGGGGGGGCTCCAGCCACAACCTCCCTGGGCAACCTGTTCCAGCATCTCACCACCCTCACAGGAAAGAACTTCCTAATGTCCAACCTGAATCTCTCCTCTTTACACTTCAGACCATTGCCCCGTGTCCTCTCACTATACACCTGTGTAAAAAGCCCTATCCCAGCTTTCTTGTAGGTCACTTCAGATATTGGAAATTTGCTCTAAGGTCAGCACGGAGCCTCCTCTAGGCTGAACAACCCCAACTTCCTTAGCCTGTCTTCATAGCAGAGGTGTTACAGCCCTCTGATCATCTTTGTGGCCTCCTCTGGACATGCACAAGGAGTTCTATGTCCTTCTTATGTTGGGGACTCCAGAACTGGACACAATACTCCAGGTGGGGTCTCACCAGAGCAGAGTAGAGGGGAAGATTCACCTCTTCTTTTGAATCATTTGAATCTTCTTTTGAACATTTTCTGGCATTGCTGAACACACACTGTCCTCACCACAATTAAAAGAGGAGGGCACGATTCTCAAATGAGATCAGCCTTGACCAAAGTCCTTCCTTAACTGCAGTATTTTTACTATTGTATCTTGGTACAGCAGTAGGAAGCATAAGATTTAAGGCATCTCCTAAGACAAATGTGAAATGCATTTATTGTTTCATAATTTGTATTATCCTCCCCTCCCCCCAAGATTAAATGAAGGCTTTTTTTTTGTTTGTTTGTTTAGAGTTTAGTTATGTACTAATGGCAATTGTGAAAGTGTTTCAGATGCTGTTATGCATAAAGTGTGTCATTTTATTGGATTCTGGGCTGGAGACTAGAGAAGTTTTCTCTGTAAGTAAATGCTGAGCAAAGAACCTTCTCACATTTCACTGTGCATTAGTCCATTAAGAGGATAATTACTTCTTTTCGTAACACAATCATTTTCACATATATTTCAAAGCAAAGGCTTGTTTTCTGTTAAAGATGTTGAAGTTCTTAGATTATTTTGGTGTTATCCTTTGATAAAATAATGATCTAATTCATAAGCCCTAATCATCATTTCATTATCCGTAATTTCCAATGGATTATTCATTTAGTAAAGCTAATATTGTGTCTTCAAGAGCAGTGATCATCTTTTGTACAGTTGATTTAAAATTGAATTTGTTTATGAACAGAGAGCTTTCCCTTTTTACCCTTTTCCCCCTTTTTCCCCTTTTTCCCCTTTTTCCCCTTTTTCCCCTTTTCCCTTTTATATAGTAAATGCAATTTAAAAAAAGAAATAACCCTTTTTCTGTTCTTCTTCTGTGCATCAAAGAACTGCTGTTAATATGTATAATACAGTGTTTCTTCAGCCTGTCAGATCAACAATTCATTACCTGAATGAGAAAAAAAATACAGGGATCTCTTTGTATCACAGAATCCCTGCGGTTGGAAAGGATCTCTTTGTCCAACAAAGATCATGTGTAGTGAGGACTGCTAAACATCTGAGTACTATAATGGTGGTATTTTTCTGGGTTTGGTGTATATGTTTGTCAAGCCTGAATGAAAGACAATATCATGCAAAAATATTTTTTCTTTGTTATGCAGTGAATCTTTCAGCTTTTATTCATGTTTATGTCATTTTGGGAAAGCATCAAGATGATCTGGTTCATAATGTTAGCTGTTTGGTTTTGGAAGAGAGGGAAGAGGATGTATTTGTGAGTCTAGGGATTTTTATTTTTTTTAAATTTCCTTTACAATCTGATAATCTTTGTTTAAATTTTGAATTTCTGAGAACACTAGAGTGAGCAAACAGCTGCTGAGCCACAAATGAAGTTGTGGAGAACCAAGCAGGTTTCAGGAGTCAAGCCAGGATGTTGAGATAAGTAGAGAGGTAAGGATGGAAATGCCCAGAATACAAGTGTTTTTTGGGTTAGTAACCATTTTAACAAGTAAGCATATATAGATTATATTTCTGTAATAATAGTACGTTCAAGAATGCTATAGAATTTCCCAGCTGCTTCTGTCTGCTGCTCTAGTCCCTCTTTGTGAGGTGTACCAGCCATAGCATTCAAAGAAAATGTTAGAAATTTAGACTGTAAGAATGACTTGGAGCCTTGTCTACAGAAGAGAAGATGAAAGAAAACATGATAGCAATTTTCAAATAATTAAGAAGTGTGCAATGAACTCATAGGACAAGGGGTAATGGATGCAAATTGGAGCATAGGAGGTTCAAGGTGAATATCAGAATTTTTTTTTTTACTGTGGGAGTGACAGAGCCCTGGAACAGGCTGCCCAGAGAGGCTGTGGAGTCTCCCTCACTGGAGACATTCAAACCTGCCTGGACACTTTCCTGTGTGATGTACTCTGGGTGACCCTGCTCTGGCAGGGGGGTTGGACTAGATGATCTTTCAAGGTCCCTTCCAACCCCTAGGATTCTATGATTCTGTGATTCTATGATTTTCATGTCTGTGAGGAGTGAAACAAGAAGTAACAGGCTGAGATTGCAGTTCAGGTAATTCAGATGCAGCACAAACCTTATTTTGTCATTTAGAAGAGAGAAACAACAGAATATGTTGCATATGAAGATCTTGGATTCATCATCTATTGTAACTAGAGACCAAAGAAGTGTCTCCAGGTATTTCATCAGTAGAGTTGATGCTGTTCGGGGCTACAGCATGAACTAGTTTGCTTTAGGACATCACTTCCAACTCCATTTTAAAAAATACAATTATACAACTACAAGTAGAAAATGCATTTCATAAACAAAGGCCCCTTTAATCCTCCAGGAAAAACTGTAATAGGTTCTGTAGCTGGGATAAGAGCTTTATCAATTCAACATAGGAAGAAGACACGCATTTTAAGAACAGCTAATCACAAAAAAAAAAAAAAAAAATGCCCCAAAGGATTTGGTAGATTCTACCTAGCTTGAAACCAAACATATTATGGCCTATATGTAATTTATGGGCATGACTGAGATGTAACTGTTTGAAATTACTGTATTTAGTCTGTATTTTATGGCATGTGAAACTTGATGATCTTAAATCCTATTTAATTTTATTGTGTGACAATAAAATAAATTTTATTTGGGTACTGTTTTCAACTCCTTAATGTCCAAAATCTGCTGTAAAAGCCACAAAAATGCAGTCACAGAAGAATGTATAATGTGCACAGTCCTTCCTGTGGTTCTCTGGAGTGGCTGTGTCTGTAACTGCCTCGTGCTGCTGGATCAAGCCCTGAGAAGGTTGAAAAGTTGCAGAAATCTGGAATGAAGTTTTGGCAACAGTCAGGCAGATCCTCAGACTTTCCCTGTGACTTTTCTTGTACTCCTTACAATGAGGGAATGTTTGGGGAAATCTGAGGAAAAATACTGCAAATGAGTTTAAGATCACTCTGTTTTTCACTGCTGGGTGTGGTGTTAGTCCCTCCACTGGCACAGAAGAGCAAGAGAGCTACTTGTGGCAGCTGGCATGTCAGGGTGTGTGTCACAGCTGGGACACATAGAGCAAGGGGCTCTGCAGGTATAGTAGCAAATCAGTAACTACACATACATTTTTAATGACTGCCAGTTACTGAAAGCAGGAGATACAGAACCAGTGGGATGGCAACTGCAGGCAAAGGAAGAAAGTAAATCTTCAAGCCATTTTGATAAGTCAGGTATCCAGCTAGGTAGAGGAGACAGACAGAGCTAAAATCCAGGAGGCTTTGGAGAAAGGACAGAAATTATTTCAGCATTAACTTTGCTTTATATTTGCTTTCTCACATTAACTACTAAATACTGTATTCTAGTTCACTATCATATATGGGTTTTGGTTGGGTTTGGGGTTTTTTAGGTTGTTTTTAATTTGTAAAGATCTTTGATACTACATGATTTGTATAATAATTTCTATTAGTACATATGTTTCATGATTTCATTATTTCTATGAGCTGCATTCTTAACATATTGAAGTTTAGACTTCAGTCTTTCAGGGAGCTACAGTAAGAAATAATTTTGAAACCAAATGGCTCAGTCTTTGCCAGGGCTCTCTAATATGTCATTTCATGGTTGTGTTTGCAATAAAAGGTGAGACTTCAAGAACATACTCTATTAGCAATATTGCATAAGAACTGCTGGACATCTTTCAGAGATTGTAGTAGGAATGTTTTGCATGCTCTTAGCATCTTCCTTTTGACAAATATAAAATGCATAAAAAATACAAATACTGGTGTGTTGGTTTTTTCAGAATACTAAGAAGAAACAGAGTAACTTGAACTTCGGGCACTGAGCTAATTTTCAGACT